GCAACACATGCAAGTAGGGGATCAGATGAAGGATCCATACATGAGAGGTTAGTGCTGGTGACGCACTCGTGTTAGCCGCCTCCATAGCTGAGCCCGTCAATGATAGGTCGAGAGATCAGCGGAGGTGTAAAGATCAGCAGCTGCGCAATGCGAAGCGAGGAGTGCGAGGCACAGAATTGCGCGTAACCCGCAGAGGGCACCAGTACCATTGGCCAGGTAGCAAGTGTGTACACAGAGAGAATGTCAAGGGCCAGCAATGTTGTTCGCAGCGTGGATTGCGCAAGTATGCCTGCATGTATCGATGCGGGTAAGCAAGCGTAGATAGGGAGTGGTATGAGGTTGCGGACGGATATAAGTAGCAAGGGTAAGTAAGCCGGGTCAGGGGAGGGGGACATACGGTGTATATTGGGATTAGGAGGGGACAAGATGAAATGCATTAGGGTATCCATCTTTCCAGGGGGAAGGCGATGGGTAGAAAAGGGGCAGTAGAATGGATCAGAAGGGGTTGAATGGATCGCAAGGGGTTCTTGGGCTGGCATTTGGAGTGGTAGAAGGTGCTACATATGGCGAGATAGTGTTTTGCAGCAAGTGTCAGTAGATGGCGTGGAGCCAGGTGTATGATATGTTTTACACGGCGACTATCTGTTGGTCGTGGCTAAGTGTTGTCCGTCGCCTAGTGCCACGTTCTGGCAACGGCGGTATTCACGTGGTAATGACAGTGCCACTTTGTGACAGCATGGTGGTGGTGTTTCGTCTGTGTGTCGGACTTCAACCCGTGCAAGAGTATATTGGGGGAGGGGGACGTTTAATGTATACTGGGATAATGGGGACGAGCCGTGTTGTATTGGGGTATGCATCTTGCCAGGGGGCAGGCGATGGATAGATAGGGGGCGGCGAAAAAGGATCGAGGGTGGTTCATAGGCCGAGACTTGGATTGGTGCAGGTGCTTTGTGTAGCGGGATTAGCATTCTGTGGGTGGTGCAATTTTGCGTTAGGAGCAGCAGAGCGAAATGTACGCCATATTTTGAGGCGTCCTACTTTTTTTTTTTTTTTTGCCTTTGCTTGGTGTCGTCCGTAGCAAAGTGTCGTGCTCTCGCTATGGCAGTATTCGTGTCGTTATGTGAGTACCACTTTGTCATGGCGTGGTGGTGGTGTTTCGTCTGCATGTCGAAGTTCGTCATATTGTCGCTATGTACAGAGTAGCTTTTTGCTTATAACCAGCGTTCTTGTTTCTTTTCCTTGTCGTGTTTTTCGTTTTTTTTTACCTTCTGCGACACAAGACCCTTGATGAGTGTCGGTGGCGGCCGACCGAAATGTCGGGTCCTCGCTGTCAGTTTTTCACGTCAATTTTTAAACCAGTCCCGTTCGGGATGACTCTTGTACTTGCGTGTCTTTCTTTTTCTTCTTCTTCTTCTTTTTCTACCTCTGCATGGTTTCTTTCTCTTTTACCATCTTCTCCTTCTGGTATGTCCACTTCTATCGACTATTTCTCTGTTGACGTCCATTTCCTGGTTGGTTTGTGTGCTTCGGTTGCGAGTTTTTGCCATCGACTCAACACTTTTTTTCACGGAGTAACCACCATAGGGATTACACTACAGGGCGAGTGGCTTCGTAATTTGCAGATGTTTGTGAACCATGGCGAATCCGGTCAACCATAGTCCGCGGACCTGTTACAATTGTGGAGACCCCAATCATTTTGTGCGGTGGTGTCCTCACCCTAATCCTAGGCAAGGGGCTGCTGGCCCCGCGCCTACCACTCACGCCCCTATTCTCGCCCTTCCTGCACCGACTGCATCATCTGCACCGATTTTTCCCCCTCCTCCCCCTCCCCCTTCCCCTCCCCCTCCTATCACTCAACCTTCTTCTGTCCTACCGGTTGTGTCCTCAAACTCAGGGTCGAACGGTCAGTACACTAAGGGTAGTGGTTGGTTTAATACTAACTAACGAGTCGTATCTCTGGAAGAAACTCTTGCACAACTTAAGGCGTGGTATCACTGGTATGACGTCGAGATGGCCAAGGTTGCGGCCAAACGTGAAGAGGAGGAGAAGGTGAGGTGCGAGCAAGAGGCAGAGGCGCGAAGACTGAAGGAGAAGAAGGAAAGGGAAGACTTCCAGAAAGAAATGAACGATACCTGGAATGCCAAGTTTGAGCTTGTGTGCGGTGCAGTTCGTGGGAGTAAGAGTGCTGGAGGTCAAGATGATGAGTTGGACAAGCTGAAGAAACAGGTCGAGTTACTGCAGATCAAGCAGATGCAGAAGGGAGACGCAGCGGCAGCATCTACTAGTAGATCGGTACCGGGGGATGATGCTTTCTTGGCACACTTAATGCAAGAGAAGGAGTTGATGAAGAAGAAGATGGAATCGACTTTGGATTCGTGTAAGCGGATGGCGGGGTTAGAAGACGAATTACGGGCACTAAAGCAGTCGCATGATGAGGCGATACGTGAAGCGGAGACCTGGAAAAAGGTGGCGCTCAAGTCTGGAAATAAGCGTAGTCGTATAGCTACCTCACCTTCGTCTCAGCTTAAGATGCCCCCAGTCACTCCTCAACATTCGCCGAGGAGGATGGACAACATTCGTCACATGCATAATCTGGAGGTGGAGACTTTGAAGAATCTGAGGCTGCAAGAAATGAATTGGAGAAGAGAAGCAGAGCAGGAGAATGTTCGGCTCAAGGAGCAACTGGCCAAACAGGAGGCTGACAAGAGGTCGACTCCACAATCAGCATTCCACGTGAGACTTGACGATGCAGGAGATGTGGGTGGTACTGCGAGAACTACGGAAACCAAGAAAAAGAGCGGCGGTGCGGACGAGACAACAGAAGACAATGATCGGGAAGCTTTCATTCGAGAGGCCAAGAAGGAATTTTGAGGAATGAGTTTACGGAGCTATGTCTTAAAGAGGGCGTAAAGTACACTACGTTGAGTGAGTCTATTGCTGGGATTATTGCAAAAAGGGTAGAACGAGCATTCAGGAAGAAGTCGGCCATTCAGGAGATCTCCGAAGATGTGGCGGGTAACGGGCTGCAGAATAATGACGCGCATGACGGGACGGACTCGGTTGATTCTTAGGGTCCCTCCCGAACGTGACTTAACTTTGGTCTTTAACCTCTTCTTGTCTTTCTTCTCGTCTTGCTTCCCCCAATCTGTTGAGGTTGAAATCACTTGACGCTCTGTTCCAACTGCTTGTCGTCTCTTTGATCTTGCTGGGAGAAGTCGTCTCGACTCATAAGTTGACTCCCTTTGTAGTTGACTGGTGACGATCTCAGGATTCTACTGTTGGGCCTCTGGTTTATGTTCTCGTCTCACCCTGGTGTCGACATATCTATGTGGGTAGTACGTGGCGTAATCTTGATGTGAGGTGGAGAGAACATGTGTATAGGTTTTCTGATGAGTCTCTGATTAGTACGGGACGTCACAATGAGCCTCTGTATAGATGGCTTAGGAGATGCGGAGCAGGTAAATACGTGGCAATTCCTATTTGCTATTGTTCGGAAGGTGATCTAGAGCTTGTCGAAAACTTCTTCACTCGTTATTTTTCTGCATCGTTGAATGTGAGGAACAGGCCGAAGCGGGCCAGAAGAAGAAGATTGAGGAAACGTGAACGTGATCGGCAACGTCGGAAGTATGGACGAAGTAAGTGTTTTGTTGATGTGTTGGATTCTGTTTCTGAGAGGTTGTTGACTGTGTTTTATTCCTCCTCTGACATCGTCTCCTCTAGTCTACTCGGTATTCTCAATGCATGTCGGGATTCGGGCGTTGACAGTACGGTTGTTGTGTGTAAACAAGGAAACGTGTTGGTGGATAATTGAAAAGTTATTAAGCGATGCTATGGGTCCTCGATTGTGTCGTGTAGCTTCGGGAGGGATCAGCTGCGATGCTCTAAAGGATGGTTAACTTGTGGAACTGTATTGAGGTTCGAAAGTATCGTCCCTTTCTACCGACGAGGTCTTCCTCTTAAACCCTGCCTCAGCAGGTTTCTTTCTCATCCACCCTCTCGTTGTATATTGCAGACTTGGGACTTCCGTGAGCTGCTCCATGCTTTTTCCGTTGTTCGTTGCTTTCAAGAGAAACGTACGAGATGCAGGTTACGGACGACCATTTCTCGAGTAATCTCCTCTCGATTTGGTCTCCATGTTCGGCAACGCCTGATAATTCGTCTTGTCTACGACCATAGGTATTGTAAGGCCGAAATCCTGAAATTTTGTGCTTGGTTGGTTGGGCAACTCGATATTGACCCCGTGTGGAGGGACTTGGTAGTTCGTCGTATGCGTGTTGTTCGGTGCAGGAATCAAATGGTCGGGGATCTGGTTCACAATTTTAGAAGCAGTGCACGTGCTGGTTCGTTTGTATGTTGCTGTCAGCAAGTCGATCCTGTGTTTCCTCGGATTGATGGACATGTTTCTTTTAGGTTCAGTCAATTCTCGGATGGTTTTCCTCGATGTTTTCTCAATTCCAAAAACATTATCTATCCGTCAGTTGATCTCCCGGTTTCCTCTCTTAGACTGCAGATCCTGCGTTCTTTCAACTCTGTGCAATCTTTACCTCCTCTTAAGTCTGAATTTTTTTCCCGGGATGCCCTCCAATCTTGTTTTCTCAAGTCCATGGTTTTTAATCCAGCGGTTAGCTGTGTAGATGAAGTTGGTAGAAGTGTGCAAAGTTTGAATGGATTGGTGCGGTCTCCGTTAGACCATAACCTTGGTGACATGTATGTTTGCTGCCCGGTTGTATATGGGCATGGAATGAGGTCTCTTTTCCTCCAGAATCCATCATTTCGTGTGGTTGAGGAATCTGTGGATGAGGTTAACGCGAGTTGTAAACAATATTTTGTGTCGTCAGGATTTGGGAAGATTGGGGCGTGGAGAAGGGACGGGGTCTTGGGCAAGGCTTATTGCATGCCTAAGCATAAAGATGTTAGCAGATGGTGTCCTATTTGCCCGTCGCACAGTGAGGGATCTGTTGTTGCAGCAAGACGGGTGGGAAGCACTATTAATTGTTTGTTGTGGAAGTTGTCGGAACATCTTCATCTCAATCTTCGTAGGACTGATGCTTTGGTTTCCAAGATAGTTCAGATCAATCGGGATGTACGAAATGATGAAGCGTTGATGGGGGGTTCTTTCGATATTAAAGAAATGTTCTTTCATTTTTCGCGCAATTCTATCCTCCGTGCTCTACGGTGGGCCTTGGACTATTGGTGCGGGGAAGGGTATGAAGCTGTTTTGGTTCGTAGACAAGGGAAGATGGTTCGACTTACGAAAGGAAAGGGGGAAGAGGGTTGGGTACGTTTGACTTTCCCTCTTATTCTCTCATTCATCCAATTTGAGCTGTGCAATACGTACATTACTGCCGCTGGTCAACTCCTGCGTCAGATTGTAGGTATCCCAATGGGCAAGACTACTAACCCAACTCTTGCTTGTCTTTTGTGTGCTTTTAATGAAACATGTTTCTTTTCATCCTTAGGTTCCGATAGGACTCTGGTCTCCGGTTGCAGGATGGTTGATGATGTGTCATTGTTTGCACGAGAGCGGGCGGCCAGGATTCTGGAGTGTTTCCGTGGATGTTACGTTGAAGGATTGACTTTAGAGCAGACGAGTTCCGGGTTTTCGTGGGAGTTTATCAGATGTACGATTGAAATTATGACCAATCTGAGCAGAGTGGTATGTGTAGCCACACACAAGAATCAGAAAGCTGATATTAATCAACCGCTGCAGTTTCAAAGCATTCAAGATTTCTTGTCGTACTCCAGCAGGCAACAGAAACTTGCGGTTATCGGATCTTTTTTACATAGGGCACGTACCTTTACTTCCATCCCTGGCTCGAGTTTTCATTCCTATTGTTGTTGAAGTATGAGTTGTGGGTGCGAGGATACCCTGACGAGTCTTTTGATCATTCTCTCGTTAATTTTTCTCGGAAATTTGCGGACTGTTGGGGTCATTGGGTATCGATTTTGACCAGATGGGATGACATATTGACAAGACTTTATGGAACAGACTTGGGTGACAGGACCCCTCTTGGATAAACCGGCGGATTATAGTCGGTCGTTGCTCTGATTCGGTGTATGTTGCAGGACCAGTACCAATGGAAGCGGTACAGTGGTCGTGGAAGGTCTATATTTTTATTTTTGTTTTGTAGCGAGTTCTCAGGGTTCGATCCGTTGGTCTACTGTACCTTTGTTGGCAATTGGGACTATGTGTGGTTAATGCTATGACGACGGTTCGAAGCCTCGTGAGCTGTAGGGATGTGTGTATGAGTCGTAAAGTGGGTCGATGGCTTTGTTGATATTGTGACAATGGTTCACACTCCAGTAGCAATAGGAATGCGTGGCTGGTTGTCTAGTGGATTCAACAATTGCGATGACGGTTCGAACTTTGTTAGCAGTGAACGCGATGTTTTTTGTAGTACGAGAATAAGCCCGGTTGGTGGTTTATCAGACAGTTGTTGGATTCCTTTTGTGGTGACGGTGTGCAAATTGGACCTGGGTTGTGAAGTATGCGATTAGTTGTACGTCTTTGCTACAGTGAGGGTCGACGACTACAAATAGAGTCAGAACGACGAGTCGCATACCTTCTGCGACACAAGACCCCTGATGAGTGTCGGTGGCGGCCGGCTGAAACGTCGGGTCCTCGCCGTCAGTTTTTCACGTCAATTTTTACACCAGTCGCATTCGAGCTGACTTTTGTACTCGCTTGTCTTTCTTCTTCTTTTCTCTCTTTCTTCTTCTTCTTCTTCTTCTTCTTCTTCTTCTTCTTCTTCTTCTTCCACCTCCGCATGGTTTCTTTCTCTTTTACTATCTCCTCCTTCTGGTATGTCCACTTCTATCGACTATTTATCTGTTGACGTCCATTTCCTGGTTGGTTTGTGTGCTTCGGTTGTGAGTTTTTGCCATCGACTCAACACATTCTGCTTAGCCAAAAAAACATTAAAAATTGTCAAAGATGGGGGTGTCAAAACGTGCTCGCTCACTCGCTATTTTTTTTTTTTTATTATTATTATTTTTTTTTCACTTTATTTCGGGGCCTAAAAACTTCTATTATTTTTCGAAAAACAAAATATGCGTTACTGATTATGTAAACTACATATCTGTAAATTTTCAAAGCATTTGTCAATGCCAAAAAATAATTAAAAATCCGCAAAGATGGCGGTGTCGAAAAGGCGCTGACACACTCACTCATTTTAATTCTCTTTTTATTTTTTTTTTATTTTTATCAGTGTTTTTTTTCTGTATTTGATTTTTAATTCAAATTTGGTAAAGAATTTGGATCTAATGCCCAGGGTCCTTGTCCCACTAGCTCCGTTGAGCTAGGTCAACGTGGGGTTTTCGAGCCTGTGTGACTGTACGTGACAAGGGAGATGCACGTCGTTCAATTCATCTAGCGGTCCGTTTTTAATAAAAAGGGCAATAGAGACCATCTTCGCTTTTTCTTATAACAAAAAACAGAAATAAATCCTTTCTCTCGAATACTACTACCCCTACCCTCGCCACTTTCCGTTGAACTAGTTGTCTCATTTTTTCGAGACCGACCCTCTTGTTCCCCCAACAGGCATTTTTCAAGAGAAACTGTACGAGCCTCTATCCGTTTGTCATTTTCTGTTGTAGAAGTGCCCGTATGCCACTCCAATTGTGAAAAATGAAAAACGAGAACAATTATATTCCTGCCATTTATAAATGCATTTCTCATTTGAAATTGAATTAAATGATTGTTTTTAGTTGTCGCACCGTTGAGCTGCCTCAACCAAACAGTGGAAGTGGGACAAGGTCCTAGACAAATGTTGTTCAGTTTATTGTTCTCCATAACATTTTTTTTTTCGGAATTTTTTGATTTTTTTTTTTTTTTTTTTTTTTTTTTTTTGGTCCGCGTTCGGCCTTAACGGCCGAATGCCTTCCGAAGGGGTCCCGTACGTTCATGCGTTCGGGGTCGGGCG